ACTCGCACTGTATTGTCCATTCAGTCCTTTTCATCACATTGCAGTTCCTCGGTTATTACGTACATTGCATATCTGTGCATGTAACAGGAACTGTCATCAGAACTTTGAGCAGAACTATCATCCGAAGTGTCATCAAACCTTTCATCAAGATTGTGGAAACAAAGACTTGTATAGAGCATACCCTCATAATGCTCACGTTAATCCAACACAGCGGAGCCACTCCTCACCATCATGTGGCTCGAGGACGGCACCAATGCCGTAGCCGGACACATCGGTGCCAATCCTCACCGCCCATTTATAGACCCATTCAGAAGAATGTTGATCACTCGTTAACTGAAGATCAGCAGGGTCATCACAGAGGAGAAGCTGTGACCAGAGACTTTCTCACGCATGTACTTGTGCTTCCCACATGTCCTGAGAAACTCTCAGGACAGGTGACGATTGGCGAGGGGTAGGATTCAGCAAGTAAGGGTGTTCAGTCCTTTGCAAAATATAATCTGCCACTGCTCACCCTTGGGGTGGTGACCATAAATAAGAATGCTGCACTGCAGGGGGCTCATTTAGAAGACTGCTTTCCACAGCTCGTTGCTGTGCCCATTCTTTGCCAGCCGAGGGTGGAGGAAGTCCCATCACAGGTTGCACTGGAGGAAATCCAGCACTGCATGTGGCGCATGAGGGAAGAGGTTCGCGAGGACAGTTACAATTGGGTTTACCAGCCCCCGAAAGGAGCTCCGGGATCGCAAGAGTGCAATGCACTTCTGACTTCATATATGTGCTCCATGGCTGTGGTCAGTTTGTGTCATGACATATTTGGCCTCGTCTCATGACGAGTGCAACCCTTATTTCTGTTTGCTAAGACATCATAACGATGTGCTGCACTCGCAACTGTTTGTGTGTGTTGTTTTAAAAGACCCCAGAATCCCAGATAAATCATCACAAGCCATCCATGACGAAAAAGTATAGATAGGCGATATAATAGAAAATGCAAGGTTGGCCACGTTTGTGTGGTTCAGTGCCAAGTGCCCACACACCCGTCTGCCACCAAAGTGGCACACTTGCACATATACATATGTATACATATATATTTCAAACCATAAGGGGATGGAGGGCAGAAGGCAACTTACCTAATGTGTGTCTCTGTGTGTGTGTGTGTGTGTCTGTGTGTTGTCATGTTCGCTATACACAAGTCCACAGAAAACGCATGACTGAGCCAGATTGCTTCATCCGACTCTCGCCGACTCGTCACGAGGTTAGACCACGACAGTCAGCCGAGGATGCTCACCACGTTGCTCATACTCTGTGCGTGTGTTGTGTGTTGTCATGTTCGCAACGAACAACTCCACAAAAAGAGCAGGACCGTGCAATTTCACCGGACTTTCATCAGGAGGTTATTGTAGAATGTCACCAGAACAACCCCATTGTCCACCCAAATGCACAGACCCAAAGTTGAAGCCGCCTCTCTCTCTCTCTCTCTCTCTCTCTCTCTCTCTCTCTCTCTCTCTCTCTCTCTCTCTCTCTCGTAAAAAACACACACATTCTCTCTCAACCCCCTCCCCTTCTCTCCCCCTTTGTCTCTTGCACACCTAACTGTTTACGAACAGATCAAGCGCTCAAACATGGTTCGATACGACAACTACATGTTGGGGAACAAAAACAAACAAACAAACAAACAAACAAAAAAAAACATTCAATCACTCTTACGGTCTAACAACCTTCCCCCCTCCAAGACAGAGCAAGACGAGCAGGGGAACTTCCAAACTGTACCAGGTGTGAGGTTTTGTCATGTCCGCCGACGACACAAGCTCGCGAATTTCTTCAATTTCCCGCCTGTGCAAGTCCAAGCAGTACTCTGTGAAAAGAGGAAACAAAAAGTACTCCGCCTCTCTTGTCGGTCCAAGTTTGAGAATCATGTCTCGAAGCTCTGGCACCATGGCTCGCAGAACAAGCTTCTTGAACTTTGCGGAAGAAGATCGAAAAAGATTATTGTTAACGTACAGGGACAAGGCCTGCTTGACCGACCACCTGCCGGATGCCGAACACACGCAACACGCAACAAGAAGAACAAGAAAGCGTTACAGCAAGGCACAGAGGGAGGGAGAGAGAGGAAGAGAGAGAGAGAAGGGGGGGGGGAGGAGGGAATGATTGAAATTTTAAAATCAATCTCGGCTACTTGGCTACGCAGGGAACAAGAAGAGTAAGAAAGAGTGGCAGCAAGGCACAGAGGCAGAGAGAAAGAGAGGGGGGCAAGGGGGGAATGATTAAATTTTTAAAAACAATCTAGGCTACTTGGCTTGCCCGGCCGTGCACCCCAGGCAAGTCGCCCAGGGATCAACTGCATGAGGCACGCCATGCAGGCGAAAATCAGCCCTTTATTTCTATTTTTATTTTATTTTGGGTCGAGGGCCAGAGGAGTCCAGATCCGGGCTCCTTTCTTTTTTCCGAGTGTTGGCTGTCAAGGGGGGGGAAGGGGGGAAGGGGGGGGAAGAGGGGGGAAGAGGGGGTATAAATTAGTTTTCGAGGAGCTGAAGGGGTTGAGAGGGGGGCAGCCTTAGTCTGATTTTGCTGTTTCCATTTTTATCTTTGGTTCTGTGAGAAATTCTTAAGCGACCCTCAGCCAAAAGTTGTTTGTATTGCAATTCTTTCAGAAAATATTTTTTGCTGGATTTTTTTTTAGATTTTGTAATTTTATTTCTTTTGGCCCCAGGGCTGCCCGAAACCCTGCCCAGGGTTCATGCCTGGCCGGACACCCGGGCATGTATCCGGCCACAAGTGGGTTGCTCGGGGTCCCAGACAAACAGCCAAGAAAACAATTAAATTAAATTAAATTAAATAAAGCAAAAGATCAAGAACTACGATTCGATGTACCAACAGTCGCTGCGACTGAGCGGATTGCCAGCGCCGACTCTATGGCCGACCCAGAATCGCCGAGCCTATCGCCGATCCGGTTGTCGTCAGCATTTCTCGCACGTAGCTGCGCTGCATGACCAGGTGCGCATCGCGAGTACATAGTGCAATAGCGTCGAGGCAAAGAGGATTGGATTGAGCACCTGAAGCTGGACGTGCTTTAACCAGAAATGCGGAAAGGCAGAACAATCGTGATCTTCTGCATCTCTCCAGAAAAGCGTCCAGATTCTGAGGCATTAAATCCGATCCCCTTTGCTAGTGGGACCTTGCCACTGACGACACGGAAAACAATATTGGTGAGAATATTTTGGAAAGTTTGACAAGAACAATAACCCTACCAAGAAAAGAGAAAAAGAGAAAACTTTCCTTTTAAATAACAGGAAAATTAAATATCCAACGTTCCAAAAGAAAAACAGAGAAAATAATAAAACATTCCTTTTTAAAAAACCGGAAAAACAATCTTCAACACTTTGAAAAACCCTTAAACCACCACTACCTTTCTCATGTGTGTGGCCGCAGGCCTCCGAATTCAAATTCGGAGGCCACGTGCTACCGATGCCGATGAAAAATATCTATGGTGACGGCGCAACGGCTATTTTCAGGAGTATGGTACTAGATCAACGCGGCCGGCATATGGGAAAGGTAGTGGTGGTTTAAATAAGACCTGTACTTTAAAAAAAGAAAAACTTAAGAAAGACCTGTACCTTGAAAAAAAAAAAAAAAAAAAAAATCCTACAGAAAAACGGATAAACATATTAAACAATATTTTCACAAGCTTTCTAAACCCTCAAATGACCTATTTTTCACCCCTAAAGGTCCCACTGAGGGACCAGGGGCGAGATCCCACTAGCAAAGAGGATTGGCTAGAGGGGCTGAACCTGGATGTGTTTTAAGCAGATATGCAGAAAAGCAGATCAATTGCGATTTGCTTTCCCTCGCCACACACATATTTAGATTCAGGATGCATTAAATCCACAGCAGCACTGGTTCATTTGCAACGACAGCCGCACAGAGAACCGCACCCTCTGTTCTCGGATTTATTTTCTCTCTTTCAATAACAGATCTCAAATGGGTCTAAATGGGTCTAAATGGGGTCTAAATGGGTCTAGAGCAAGCGGCATAACTCAGTTGTTTAGCCATGCACATGGCATTTCGGAGGTCGTGGGTTCAATCCCCATTAACCACCTGATGCACACATGGTACTAACCAGCAAAAATAGTTGGCTTGCTTCCCTTGGTCGGTTTTGGTAGGGCCTTCGGCCATCACGGTTGTGAATGTGTGCGTGGGTGTGGGTGTGTACGTGTGTGTGGTTTGTGTGCGGTGTGCGGGAGAGTGTTGGCCTTGGACCCCACTACAACTACCTGGGAGGCGCAGCTACTGGCTAAATGCTGTGTCTTTGTGTGGGTGTGTATGTGTGTGTGGTGTGGGTGCGGTGTGTGGGAGGGTGTTGGCCTTAGACCCTACTAGAACACCGGCCTTGTTTGTTTTTTTTCGAGCCTTCGAAAGAATTTTTTTTTGTTTTTGAGTAAGTTGGCCAAACATTTTCCAAGATTTGTCGACAAGTTTCAAATTTTGATACGCACATTTTATTTATCTCAGGTTTTTTTTCATCAAATCGCAATTGCGCATAACGGGAATCGAACCCATATCCCCTGCTACCTGGGAGGCGCAGCTACTGGCTAAATGTCGTGTCTTTGCGTTAGCGGCGGCCCGCCCTGCCCCCGCGACGGCCCCACCCTACTCCATGAGCACCACCGATTAGGGCAGGGGCCAACACGCATCCCCTCAATTGCGAGAGGTAGCGATGTTTGCAGGCATCCCCTGTATAGGCTTAGGAGTGGGGTAGGTAGGGTCGTGAGAGGAGAATATAGCTTCGGGTTTTTTTTTTTAATGGGCCTAGATTGGTCTAAATTGGTCTATTCTTGCGGTTTCCTTCATATTCAATACGAGCTTAATTTGGTGAACATATTATTATTAAATAATTATTCAAAATTGCTTTGAATTAAATAGCTTTTTCTAATCAATTAAATTCTTGTATTTTAATCCGGTGAATGTATTCCCCATTCCTATGAAAGTATTTAATCATTCCGGCGAATACATTCATTCCCCAAACAATTTAAAAAAAAAAAAAAAATCCAAATAATTAAAAAAAAAAAAAAAACAATTCCGGTGAATATGTTCGGCCTTTGGTTAGTACGGCACATGTATACAATGGCGCGCAGTGAGGTTTGATCCTTAAGAAAAGCGAGCCAAAAACATTATCTTGAGACGCCTGAGGATGAACCTGGCCTAGGATTCAGACCACGTCCGGACGAACTTCGCACTCAAAATAGCACGACCCAATAGCGTCAGCCTGAGACAACTGAGCATGAACCTGGACTGTACATCAGATCAGATTCGTGCTAATTTAGCACGTGAAACAACAGATTGCAAAGAGGAAAAGGCAATGAAGAGGGCCCCCATAGTTAAGCCTGACCTTCAAGATTCAGGCGCATTCTGTGCTAATCTTAGAATGAACCTGCCCCACATCTCCGGACAGTTTCATGCTAGATCAGCAAGCATTGCCAATCAACAGAATGCATCAGAGTGGCCAGAACACCCTCCCCTCCTAGAGCCAGGCCCAACTGCTTTCTTTTTCTTCACCTGCCGTCTTCACTTGAACAGAATGCCCAGTCATTCAGCTGTATGTAGACCCACAGTTGCCCCAAATACAGCTACAATGAACGGGCGTTCTCCTGGGGTTAAGAGGGTATAGTCTTCTCGGCACTAACCTGCCTGCCCGGTCATTAAGCTGTATGTAGACTGAAAGTTGCCCCAAATACAGCTGCAATGACCGGGCGTTCCAGTTGGGTTAAGAGGGTAGACTTCTTGCTTGGCACTGATCTGCCTGACGGATCATTAAGCTGCATGTAGACTGAAAGTTGCCCCAAAGACAGCTACAATGACTGCGCATTCTACTGGGGGTTAAGAGGGTAGTGTTCTTGGCATTAACCTGCCCTAGGTTTCGGAAGAGGTTCATGCAAAATTAGCAGGCAGGACCATGCACCAAAGAAGCCAGGACAAACTCTTGAGAAAAAACGGCGTCATTTATGATGTCAACCCGGTCAGAATGCACCTGGGCCTCTGCACATCCACTTGCAGATAATGCACTTGGGGCATCTGCATACCCAAGTGCATTCTGACCCAGTTAGCTGCAGATAATGCACTTGGGGCATCTGCATACCCAAGTGCATTCTGACCGAGTTAGCAAACTTAGCCCCACCCGTCTGAATATCTGTCCCCAACGTCCAGGAGCAAGAACCAGACGCATGAACCTTAGCCCCACCCGTCTGAATATCTTTCCCCGATCTTAGCCCACCCAGCTAAGTTTTGAATTTACCAACCTTAGGCCCACCCGTCTGCACATGCAGACTCATGAACCTGTCAAACTTGTCAGAACAGGTTCATGCCAAACTAGAGGAGGGGGGAGGGGGGAGGGAGGAGGGGAGGGGATTGATTGATTGATTGACTGATTGATTCATTCAATATTGATTGATTGATTGACTGATTGATTCATTCATTGATTGGTTAGTTGACTGACTGGTTGACTGATTGAGTGAGCGAGTGAGTGAGTGAGTGAGTGAACAAGTGATTGATTAATTGATTGATTGGTTGATTGGTTGATTGGTTGATTGGTTTGTTGATGCGCTTGTTGATTGGTTCGTTAACTGACTGATTGAGTGAGTGAATGAGTGATTGGTTGACTACTTACTGATTGAATGATTGATTGTTTGGTCGAGTACTTACTGATTGAATGATTTATTTACTGACCGATTGATCAGTTGATTGATCAATTCGTTAGTTGATTCATTGATTGATTATTGATTGACTGACTGATTGGTTGGTTGACAGGTTGATTGATTGATTGATTGATCGATTGATTGATTGATTGATTGATTGATTGACAAAGTAAATGACAGATGGATTGGCTAATGAACTAACCCACCGCTCTTTTTTTTTGTTGACGAATCGACATACGAAAGATTGATTCGAAGGTAGACCCAGCACAAAGATCGAGGCCATATTCAAACTAACACTTCCAAAAATGCTTCTGCCCGTAATTACCGCCAGATTCAGTCAAGAGGATTGAGTGCGCGAGTACATCCCCCTGATTTGAATCCCCTCAGATTGACAGATTAATTCACCGATTTATTCGCTGCTTTTTACTCAAAAAGTGACAAAAACAATAAAAAATAGCTGAGATCTCAAAAACATGACCGAAAACGCGGGTATATTCCGGACTTTTGCCATTCCATCTGGCCATAAAGACGGTCAGATACATTCCGCAAAGTTACAGTGCGAGTACGCACTAAAACTATGAACTGCCGCAGCGAATTAATAACCGACCGTCAGGCTTGATCCCCATGCCAGATGAATTTCTCTCTCTCAATTGATCTCCATTTCTTTTTTCTTATTTTCCTAATTCCATTTTTTTGTGTGGTTACAATTCATTCCTGCACGGATCTTTTATCCCTTTGATCTTTTCGAACATCCATTCTTTCATTTTTACCTTTTTTTTCTTTTTTTTTCTTTTTTTTTTTCTTTTTTTTCATTTTTTCGGATTTTTCATTTTTCCTTTTTTTTTTTTT